CAGTAGTATTAGCTTTACTTAGACAAAATGGACTTTAAGCCAAAAATGGTCAAAAGAAACAAGGTCATTGAAAAAATGAGAAAGGGTAACAATTCATCAAGAAGATATAACAAGTATATGGTATTGGGATCATCTGAGAAGTTTTAAAAGAATCCCAGAGTCCCAGTTTCTACTTCCAGGTCTGATATAGTTGGTCTGAACTTGCTTGGGCTTCAGGATTTTAAGATCTCCTCCAGATGATTCCCTATGGCTACTTTTGAGAATGACTGCTCTAGATCCAACTCAATCAGAAATGTGTATGACACAGTAGTCGTTACATAACACCATGGGATACACCCAGCAGTCAACCAGGCCTTTAGGAAATGGCCAGTAAAGACCCACTTTCTTTACATGAAATTATGAAAAAGTTTAAAAAAGAAGCATGAGGGAGAGAAACACACATTAAAAGTGACTTAGAAGAAATAGCAACTCATTGCACATATAGCCCTTTTGATGCTTAGTGAATAGAAATATATATAAAAAAATTTTATATAATATGAGAATGTTGAACATTTAGTAAATAATATATTATGATTATTTCTAAATCTTGAATATGATGATATGTTTAATTTTAAAGAGTTTTTATTTTTTCTCAGAGAAAGATTTTGTTAAAAGATTCTGAAATATATAACATCTGGGATTTGTCAAAATAATCCATGGAAGAGGGAGCTGGTAGATTTTGTATAGATTTAAAAAAAAAGATCCTGGAAAAAAGAAGATAAGACAAGTGTAAATATTTTTTTGTAAACTAACATCAGAGCCCCTAAATACATATATAGCAAATACAACAGAAATTAAAAAGGAGAAATGAACAACAATGCAATAATAGCTGGGAATTTTAATATCCTCTCTCAACAATGGATAGAGAATCAATAAGGAAATAGTAATTTACTGTAGATCTCAAATGATTCCAACAGAGATATAAAGAACATTGCATCCACATGGAATATCTCTCTAGAATGGACTATATGTTAGGCCACAAAAGAAGTCTTTAAGGAAGAGTTGAACATATTGAGTATCTTTTTTCTGATGACACACAATAGTATGAAATTAGAAATCAATAGTAGAAGAAAATTTGAAAATTCCTTAAGTGTGGAATTAAAAGTACACTTCTGAGCAATGAATGGGGTCAAAGAAGAAATAAAAGAAATAAAATATCTTGAGATAAATAGAAAATGTAAAATAATAACATTAGTAAAATGTATGATATGCAGCAAAAAATATTCAGAGTTTATAAAAATAAATGACTGCTGACGAAAAAAAGAAACACTTCAATAACAACTCAACTAGTTCTCAAGGAACACATAGAAGAACAAACTAAGCCCAATCAGAAGAATGAAATAATAAAACATTAGAGCAGAAATGGGCTAAATGAGAATAGAAAACAATAGAAAACATGAATGAAACTAAGAGTTAGTTCATTGAAAATATAAACCAAATTGACAACCTTCCGCCAGGGATTCAAATTAGAAAAAGCAGGTTAATAAAATTGAGTAAATGAAAAAGGAGGTATTATAACCTGATGCAACGAAATACAAAGGTCATAAGAACTACAATGAAATGAATAATTGTACAACCACAACTGGAAAACCTAGAAAATGGATAAACCTCAGAAAACATGCAAAATACCAAGACTGAATCAGAAATGGCAAAATATCTGAAATGCTGATCAATAATAAGTAAGAAGATTGAATCAGTAATCAAAACCTTGGTGAAAACCCAGACCAGATGAGCCACTTCGGTGAATTTACCAAACATAAGAACTAATATTTAATCCTTTCTTTGAACTTCCAAAAAAAATAGAAGAGGTAACACTCCTCAAACTTATTTTTTGCTCAGGCCAGCATTACCTCAGTACCAATCTTGATAAGGACACCATAAGAAAAACTTATAGCCAAATATCCCTCAGTAGATATAATTGCAAAAAATTTCAACAAAATACTACAAAGCTGTTGTGATCCTAGTAAAATATCATATACCATGATCAAGTGAGATTCATCTTTGGATGTAAGAATGAACCAATGATACCAATCAATAAATGGTATATTGCATGAATAGAATAAAAGATTAAAATCATATCATGAAGTACATGCAGAAAAGGATTTATTAAAATTCAACTTTTATCCAGATTAAATGCAACAAATTAGATATAGAAGAAATTTACTCCCCAACATAATAAAGGCTATATAGAAGACAAGCCCAACGCCAAAGACATGTCAATGGTGGAAGACCTGAAAATTCTTCCTCTGAAATCTGGAAAAGAATAAGATTCCTCGACTTCACCACTCCATTTAATGTAATGGAAGTCGTAGCTACAATTTTAGGGCACAGGTGTTGAAAGCAAAGGAACTGACCAAAGGAAGAAGCCAAAGTGTCTGTTTTGTTTACGGCGATGTTATGTGTGGAAACTAAAGACCCAATTGAAAGAACTGTTAGAACCAATAAATGACTTCGTAAAATTATAGGAAGCAAAATCAACATACCCAATTGTTTGTATTTCATGCATTAGAAATAAATTAATTAAAAGAAATAAAGAAAGCAACTTACCATAACAGCATCAGAAATAAAATACATAGAAACAAATTTAACCAAGCAGGTGGAAAGATTGCATACTGAAAACTTGCTAGACAATGATGAAAATTGAAGAAGACATAAGTAAAATGGAAGATATCCTATATTTATGGATTGAAGAACTATTATTGTTAAAATATTCTACTACCCAAAGTGATCTAGATTCTAGATTCACGCACTTACTAATATTCCAATGGCATTTTTACAAAAATAGCAAAAAACAATGCTAAAATGGTAAGTGGAAGGACCAAAGAACTCCGAGTAGTTAAGTAGCAAGTTCGAGAAGAAGAAAGCCAGAGGCATCAAGTCTTGATCAACCATATTATAAAGCCATATAATCCCAAAACAGTGTGGTTGAAGCGGCGCACCGAAAAAAAAAAAAAAAAAAAAAAAAAAAAAAAAAAAAAAAAAAAAAAAAAAAAAAAAAAAAAAAAAAAAAAAAAAAAAAAAAAAAAA